AGTGTTTAACTCCTAAGATGAAGCAGTGGTTGAACCAACCCCCAAAATATTTCAGATGCCATCCATGCTTTCTTGTCCCATCTCCAATGGAAGTAACATATGCTTCAGGTTTTTCTCTGTAAAGTACTCAAGACTTTTGAGCTCTGTACATCATCAAGGTTTGCAGTTAAAGGTGCCCTTGGCATTGGTACACAACAGCAACGCTGCAGTCCTTGAATAATCATGGGCTTTAGAGACCATCTGCATTTCACGGGGTCATTTGCCAATGACCTTGTAAAAGTAAGCCAGTCTCACTGATGTTTAAAACTACCTCTTTTCATATAACCCTTTCCCTGCATAACACTTCACAGATACTCTTCCATAGTGTCCTGATCTGCAAAACCCACCTCACCTTCAAGTTTAACATTTTTCACACCATACTGTCTTAAAATGTGAGAGCCAAGAAGGGTTCAACACTTTCCTAATCCTAGGTAACATGCTGAGAGCTGAAAGCCTCACAACAATGCTGTTCACTACGCTTCTTTAAGATTCGTCATAATCTCATGAATCCACAAACTTTGTCACTATTCCATCTTTTCCATAGATTCACCACATACTATAGATGTTACTTTAGCACTCAGAGGGGCCTCATGTATATAGACTGGCAAAATCCCTCCTCCTTTCTTTAGATGTACTGTATTGTTGATTCATTAACATTGAACTCACATCAACAGCACTGATATAACTCACGCCTAAATGAAACTTACCTAACACGTATTTTCTCCATAAGGCACATCGAGCTTTCTTGCTCTTTAGTGACACTACACACCACTTCAGCAACATGCTGTGGGCCCTTATAAACAGCAAAACCATCAAAAAAGCACAAAAATGCAAAAAACATGGCACTAATTAGACCAAGAAAAGGACACTTGTTCCTAGCATGAGAGCTGAAATAAGAAAGCACAGCACTCCTTGCTCTACCTCAAGTGGGAACATTTACATCAGGTGACTCAAATTTTTCACCACTCTGCATATCTGCAAATGACTGTGAAAGTGTCATAGGTATTGATTTAGGGGTTACAAATAAATTCTGGCAAGTAGGCAAATTCGAAACCCACAAATAATGAAGGTTGACAGTAAAGCTGTTCCTCAGAATTCTTGGGAGACTGGTTCCAGGGCCACACCCATCCCACCCCACCTCCCGCATATAGTAAAATCCATGCCTACTCAACTCCCAGTCAGCCTTTGTGGAATCAGTTCATACCAAAAGTAGGCCCCCTGTATACACGGGTTTTCCATCCCACAAATAATGTATTTTCGACCTGCGTTTGGTTGAAAAAAATCTCCATAAGTGGACCCTCACAGTTCAAACCTGTGTTGTTCAAGAGCCAACTATACTTAAAAAAATTTATCTGTGAATTTCTTTAAAGATATGGAAGGGTGTATGTTAAAATACTGTTTATAGTGAATATCTCTCACCAGTTACAAATATGGCACTAGAATGAGCTTATTTCAGATCATCAGGATTTCAAACCACATACTTAACCAGCTATAAGAGCCGGAGTCCTGAACAAGGAGCTAAGGGACTTGATTCTAACACTACTACTGTGTGACATCTGGCAAGTCACTCAATCCCTTGTGCCTCAATTTCCTCAACTGTATAATGGGGAAAATAACTTAGCAAATGATATCCATTATGTACCAGGTACTAGGTAAGTTTGCTCTAAACTAGAGAATACTCTGATATTCCAGAACAGGGGTCCAAAATCATGTCTATCCTAGGACTGCACAAAGTCATACCTCTTGCCATTTTGCAAATATTATCTCAAGTCAATTAACTATGCTAACTTCATGAAAACCTACACTTGACCCCAACCTTTCTGTTTAAGAATGCTTTTTACTTTTCTAGTTAACAGGCAGGATCCACAGTTATTTATGTTGAAGACTGAAGTAGGATCCAAAATAATAAAAATTATAATGACAAAAGCCACCATCTGTTAAGTATCTGCTATATGCCAAGGACTCTGTAAAGCACCAAATCTTATTTCACCCTCCAAACACCACAATCCAGAAGTCAGGATTCAAATAAGAGTCATCTGATGTCAAAGCCTATGCTCTTAATACTATACGTACTCCCTCTATGAGGTCTGGAACAAAACAGATACCTTGTATTTAATACTTACTTTGGGACAACCCTGAGGTAGGTACTATATTCATCCTGAGTTTACAAATAAAGAAACTCACACTAAGAACAGTGAAGTAACCTGACCAAAATTATATAGCTAAGCTCCCATCCTTTGAAGTTTGAATGGAGAATCAGAAGATTCCAAAAGCTTACAAAGAAAAGATGGGGAGGACTTTGTATGACAAAAGGCAACAGCTGCAGTGGCAGCCAGACTTATCCTTCCCTATTAATAATGCTCCCTCTATCCTTTTGTCTGTCATATAATTTGGTTCAAGGCCTGTAGAAGGAGAAAAATATTTAATATTGTGCTGGTAAAATGGGTTTCTTGAAACCTTGGTCAAAAGCTTGCACCTTGGAAACAAGGCTGGGGAGTTGCCTAAGGCTGCAAAAAGATGATACAATAAGGAGTAATTATCTTTATGCTCCTCAGTATGGATAGAAGTGTCTGGTATTAAAAATCAGATAATTCAGCTGAATATTTTACATACTTTTTAATTATCTAAGTTAAAAATGTTATTTCTGTAAGGAGGGAATAGATAAGAGAAAGCAAGGACAACACACTCTTAGGTTTCTAGGGTTCTGTCCAACTACTAACGTCAAAAATAAACATTGAATGGAATAAACATAAAAACACACCAATCTTTCATCTGTATCAGTGATCCTCATGTCTGGTTACATATTAGAATCACATGAGGAACTTTTCAACAATACAGTATTTCTGGGTTGGGGCCCACGCATTTGAAGGTTTTGAAAACTTGCCAGGTGATTCTAATGTCTAGCCAGAACTAACAAACACTGATCTATTCTTTCTTACCATAAGAAGAACTACCCCAGAGACTTGCTGCAATGCCAATTAATGACTCCTGAAGAACTTCCCTTGGATAAGGATGCCAGAAATACCAAGACCCTCCAAGGGGTCAGACACAGCATGTTGAGAGCAAGCAGGGCCCCAGTGCTCTCTCTCCAAGGGTGGCAAAAGCACTGCCTGTTCTCTTCCGAGGTCATTACACGTCAACGAGGGCCACTTTTAACGTACAAAACTATTAAAATGCTCACATAAAAGCAGAATTTGATGTATTATTCCAAAAGAACAAGTCTAAATTAAAAAAAGAGAGAGAGAAAAGCCTAGATAGACACACTGCATTATGTATTCCCAAATGTGAAAACTCATAAATCCTAGCCACCAACACAGATCTTCAGATCTCTACTTATAAAATAAATGCATAATGCAGTTAATAATCTGGCTCAGCCTATTCTTTCAGTCTCATTTCCCATATTCCACCAAAGATCCCCTTCGAGCTAGGCACTTGCGAGTAGTTTGCCAAATACACATGTGCTTTGTACTTTATTATTCTTTCTGCTTTTCATTGCCTATTTACCTGGCAACCTTCTACTCCACTATGTACTAATCAGCTTATTCACATCCTTCAGGAAAAGGTACAGCCAATCATTTCAAACATACTACTGCTACCGTCTTGAAGATACATCTATTATGGGAATTTCAACTTAAATACCATTCATATGTCTATCTCCCCACTGCGGGTACATAATTAATTCTCCTTTAGCATGTATAAAAGTCTCTGGTATTAACATAATTTCAGGTAAATACTTCCAACATATCAAGAAATTAAAAATTCTTTTACTGTTATGATTAGATTAAATTGGCTTTATTTTTTGCCCCCACATTACAAAAAATCACAATTTAGCACTCTACTTAAGCAATACTTACTGTCATTTTGGTTCGGGATGTCTGACAACCCTGATCTGAAAAAAATAAACAAATTTAAAATAAGACAAATATACTTTCTTCCAAATTTTCTAAATCCCTATTTCTCATTAAATCTCACTGATTTAAAATGTTACTGAAGAAAATATTTTAAACTATTTTAAGTGAAGAATCTCAAATTTGAAAAGTATAGAAATATAATGCTAAATAAATGGAATTAACCATCTTCTTATTTCATCCTCTCTGCACGTATACATTGCTTTGAGGGAAATACTATGTTCTCAGATTTATCTCCTAAATAAAATACAAAGTCACAGCTTCTAAATGTTTTTTTGTTGTTTCTCCCAACCTACCCTCCCAGAACATACAATTTGCTAAAAAGGTATTTCATTTAAAATTATATAAGACACATGATAGGTAGATGACTGATCTTTTAAAGTTTTTGTTACAAATTCTGTTTAGTTTCTCTCCACTTCAAACTAGGCCCTGCTTTCTCAATTAGCATTAAATTTTTAAAAAGGAATAAAATAAAAAGCAATACATTTATAGAAATATCATACAGGGTACTTCAGCCCAGAGAATCTATGGAATTTAAGTTGCTGTTAAAATATCTCCCTGATTCATGATCAGTGCTTTGGATTCAAACCTAAGAATATAAAGACTGACGTCCAGAGTTTTCAATTTATAACCTAAATTATTACATACCATAATGTAAGTTTTCGGGTCCTTTCTGAGTTGTCATATTGGGCTCGTTTTGCTGACAGTAGAAACGTAATAAGCAATGCTGATCACAGAAATGTTTCATTTCCCCACGCCACTGCACTCGCTCTTTAAGAGTTCCTTGAGATTTACAACAGTCACATCTTGCAGCCTTAATAAAAAAATGAAAGTTTCAGACATTTCAAGTCAGAAGATTTAAAATAGCAAACATGTATATGGATTTTTAAAGATTTCTAAAAGTTTATCAGTGATGATTATTGCCAAATGTGATAAAACAATGTCTGATAAAGAAAAAATAAAATAGTATCATTTATAAACATTAACATCCATAATAAAAAGTAAAAAAAAAAAAAAGAGCAATTTATCTAATTGACAAAATTCCTTTGTATACTTACCAGAAGTCAAAGACCAGCATTACAAAGATATAATAACTAAGTGAACATTGGTGGGCCAAACTGATATGTTTCGATATTTTAATATAATAATTTTGAGGGACAGAATGATATACTGTAGAAGTCTCCTACAATCACATTAAATTAAAAATTTCTGATTAATCAACAGACTTTCCAGTTTAGCTGTTCAAGACCAGGGTAATTTTGAAGCAAGCTCTTATGATGGGAAATTTATGGACATTAACTTGAAGTATCTTAGTTTTTCAACAGTTTAATATAAATTTGAAAAATCTTTAATGAATACAATGATTTAATTTTAATAACAAGAACTTCAAGTTCATTGAGTTTTAAAACACTCAATGTTGAATTATTTAAAAAACATATCTTAAGACAACCAATTTGACATATCTAGAAAAGCAATCAGCCCTACTGGTCCATAACTTAACATGTAAAAACAAAAAAAAAATCAAACCCCTAAAATTCATATACAGAGTTATACTTTATAAGGGTAAATCAATAATCTAAGGACAGATTTTTCGTTTCTTGAGATCCCATTTTTGCTAGATTTTGCCCATTTTCACTATTTCTCATCTTGATCAATGAGCGTACCAAAAGAAATGAATGACTGATTTCAAATACAGTTCTTTTCCTAACTAAGTTTCTGATGTAGAAACAAACTACTATAATTTTTAAAATTACCCTTTGGCTTAACTAACAGCTTAGAAATTTTGATGAAACAACAAATATTAAATATTTTGCAGTTCATAATTGTAGGTGTGATTTTTTCCTTTATTATTCTAAATAATCTAGAGTTTTTTATACTGTGGATTTTGAATTCTCTCACTTTATATCTCAACAGGAATTCTAAGAATAAATATCATGTCAAAATTCCTAGTCAGAAATATAACAAATGATTGTGTTGGTAAACAGGTCTTATATAACAAATATACTCCAAGGTTAGTACACAGGCTCTTTTTTTCTCCATGTCAGGTATTTCCCCTGCTGAATAAATGTTAAATGAATGAAGAGCTGTAGTATACATTATGACTATCAAGTGATGCCAGTATATTCAGAAATATACTGCTTTGTTGACTTTCATCACTGAACACTGCATAAATGAAAA